CATCCTCTGTCGCCACATATCGGTGAGCATTTGTATCTTTATAGACTCAAACATTTGTAATAATACTGTGGGAACCTTCGTTAAACACGCAGGCGAAGATAGCGTGCAACAGGTTCGATAGTTTTTAATCCACTTTAATTGGAATAATGTTTGGACTGATTTCCCATATCAGCTGATTAAATTGCATTGCTATTTTGACTTTTCGCATTCATTAATACAAGTATATCTTTATACATAATACTCACAAATGATGAGTCACAAAACGTTCGAAAGAGACTACCTTTGTCCTGCACGCAATTGTCATTCGCAAAGCGTATACTTGAACGTTCATTTGTCAATTTTATTAAAAAAAAAAAAAAAAAAAAAAAAAATTAACTTACCCAACTCTGATAATTTTTGTTGCATGTAACAGATATTTGCTTATCAGTGATTCTTAAAAATTCTTAAAAAATAAAATCCTACGATAAAAATTTCAAATTCATTACATTAAAATTCTATTACATTAGAATGTTTCATAAAAGTCAACTTCTAGATAAAGATTTAGGTTGATTTAACGGTAAAGGAAAAAGTAATAAAGGTACAGGTTTAAATTCTTTGACGTAAATCTTATTTCCAAAGAGTGAAATTTCATTCAAAAAAATTAAAGAAGTTAAACCATCAAAGAGAAAATTTTTCAACGCTGATTTAAAACGCCAAATAGAAAATAAATAAAACTTTGTTATTTGCAGTTCTGTTAAAAGCAAATAATTCTATAGGAAATTTGTACATGGAAACGTGTTTGTGTATATAAATTTTGTTTCAATTGTATTCGATAAAGATACAGAAAAAATACAATATTCGTTTTGTAGTAATATTGGTTACACTTTTTATTTATTGTCAATGAAAATAGAAATAGATCAAAAAGTTTAACAAAAAGTGCTCTTCGAAACATTCCCATTAATCTTTTTTTCTTCTCAATTGTGTTCTTAATTTTACCTGCTTTGGAATTTTGACTATTCTTTATTAATTTTTCGTTAGTAATACTTGTTTATTTAATAATCAGGCAGTAAATTCGATTCAGGTATTGTCGTCAGCATTGTTACTGAGATGCGATTATCATGGATTGTTAAAAATAGCTCATGGTTTATTGCCTAAAATTATTCGCGGGCGGGGTCAGAAAGTTCCGCATTCGTTTCGCACGATTCCGGCGTGCACCAAATTAGAAGTATTTCGCGTCGGCTGTCTTTATATTGGCACTGACACGCCGCCTTCTCTCGAAGATCCGGTTTCACTTGGCTCATAAACGGGAAGATATTCCGCGTTGCGGGCTCGGGCCGATTTGAGATTTCTTATTTTTATTACATTGTGGCACTTCTTACAGCGCGTAAACGTGGTGGCAAGTAGCTCCGGCAGGCTGGAGATACGAAATTATGTCAGTATCGAAAAAACAATCTCAGATAAACCAAAGAAATCTACTCATATTCATTTCTATATCAAAATGTAAATAAATTTCAACGTCGTTTAATTTATTCTTTATTTTCTTTTAGTTCTTACAATATTGGAACTAAAAAAAATATAAGAAGTAAGTTGAACGGAAATTAAAGTTAATTTAAAATAACAATAAATAGGAAAATTTAAATAAATAAATTTAATGAATAGACACGAATAGATAAATAAGTAATCTTTAAATTCTTTGGAGTAAGATTCTCTCACTAAAAAAAATTTAGAAAGTAAAATTCTTCCTGATAATTTCAAGTTAATCTATATTAGTCGAAATTGACATCGTCGAAATTAAACCAATTAATCCTTGATTTTCTAAATTTTTTCACAACTTTACCAATTTTTTCTATTTTTATTTATAACAGTGTCGATTAGTTTGGCTTTTGAGAAGCTTACATATAAAATGCATCAATCACGATTATAATTGTATAGAAACGAAACAATAATAATATTTCTAAAAATTAATTTCTATTATTCGTACAATAACGGGCAATATATAGCAACCACCCATATATTTCCATAAAACATTTATTATATTTTAATGGAATATTTATTTCTGTATGTGTATGATTTTCCATATAAATGTAAGGTATTATTTAGGTTTCATTGACGTCTCGTTGGTCTCTTCTTTTATGAGCATCGAGGCGAGCGGAATTTTTTCGCCACGTGACGATCGATTGCTATTCAGTTTAATATTACATACTAAATCGCGAAGCCTGTTTTTAAATATACCACGCGTTGCGCAGCAGTAAAGAAGTTTTCCGCGAGAAAGAAAGAGACAGAGGAAGACAGCCCCGAGTGCGAGTAAAACGTCATATAATACATTATTATAAATCACGTCGCCAGAGCGGGGATAAAAACTGCATGTCTGTTATATTTAGCCAAACGTATTTGCAGCCCGATTCGACGAGACGCAATTGCTCGTCGGCAAGTGTATGTGTTATATTGTTTTTTTAAACCAAATTTTTTTTAAATCATACATCTGACGTAATCGCGTGAAAGTGCTTAGAACTTTAGGAATTGCTCGTCCTCGCTCCGGTCCCACAAGCGCGATTGTACCTCGCACACCGGTCTGGCCCCGGCCTATTGTTTTCATACTTTTTCGAACGAGAGTCAGCACGGCACGGCACGGCGCGGCGCGACGCGAAAGGAGAATGGAAATCACCGACGGTGGAAACTGTTACGCTCGTGCTCTATATAGCGACGTCGAAGCTAACATTGCGAAGACCCGACAATGTTGGATGAGCGAACCGTGAAAACACCGAGTTAAAATCCGCAGCTTTCTGCGCGGAGTAGCGTCGTGAATTTTTTTTTAATTCACGCTTTCCTCCTGCGAAACTTTAGGCTTTTTTTATTCCTTAAAAAGCAACAGATGAAAAATACAATTTTTTTTTTAATCAACCAAGTAGATTTTTTTTACTTCGGGGAGAAGTAACTAAAACAAAAAAAATGAGTTTTTCAAATAGCATTTAATCAAAGTAACATTTAATCGAAATGATATAAAATTTGTGTTAAGTGTTATATAAAAGGAGATAAAGGAGATCTGTAAAAAATTCATTTTTAATATATTCATTGTTAAAATGTTTGATGCCTTTCAGCACTCTAGGGGAGCACAACTTTCCACGATAAGCAAGATCCATCCGCGTGAAGTGTCGTTAGGTTCCTAGACTGGTGGGAAGGGA